GGGGTGAGAGGATTCACCAGAGACAGAGCGGGGAGCAGAACAGGCAGATCAACGAAGTACACTGCTGAGAGGAGCAGTAGGCGGGTCAGGAGAGGTCTGCCTCGCCATGTGGAGCTCCTCAGGGGCAGGCAGGGATCGAACTCATGCGGAAGTGGCTTTAGCTTCTTAGTGCAGTGCTTTAACTGGCTGCGCCACCAGGGAGGGCCCGATTTCTGGAAACTTTTATAGGCAGTTTTCAGATTCATTCATCCTCCTTACCCCATCTCTGGTGTTTGCCCTTGGGAGAACTTCCATCCCAAGTTTTTCCGTTCTCAGCTTCCATCACTCCCTAGACTGCTCAGCACCTTGGACCAGGAAATCCTAATCCCCAAATTTCCCACGCTTCTCCCCTCCCTATAAAACCCCAGCACTCCTGCCATTCAGGGAGCTGGCGGTTTTTGGGGTACCTACCCCCACCAATTCTCTTGATGGCCATCTAGTACACAAAACTCACTGTAAAGACAGTTCTCATGTTCCAGAGTTTCGCTGTCTGGGGTAGGGGGAAAGAGACCCTTTTGGGCCGGTTACAATTTCAAATGCTCGCAAATTACTGTACGGACCGATCAAATGGGGAGACAGTAGAGAGGAAAGTATTTTTCTCTAAAATAAATTAAGCAAAACAGTGGCATTGTTAAATTTACAGATTCAGGTCCATAGAATTCTAGCAGCTTCATGAATCTAACTCTGGGTTCTCCATTTTCTACGCTGGAGGTCGAGAGAAACAGCTTGAACGAACCCTCCATTTCCTCAGACCCGAGTCCGCTCGAAGTGGGGAATTCTGGGATTTGCGTACACGCAAGGAAGTTCAGGCTCTACGAACCAATAGCATTCGAATATAGACGGCTGTGCCCGCCTCCTGTGCCTGCGGGTTGCTCAAAGAAGCCAATGAAAAGTACACGGCCTGGTCGCCTGGGAAACAGCGTGACAACAAGATGGCGGCGCCGCGGGACGGCTCTGTGGCCCTGCTTGGTAAGTCCAGCTCCAAGACCTTTTTGAACCCAACGTCATTCCCGCAGGCCGGGAGCCCTGAGGACTCACGAGCAGGGCCCTAGGCCCTGCTCCCTCAGCAAACGCCCGCATCCTGGCTGCGGATTCTGGTCCGCTTACCCGAGCTCTGTGTGGAGGCGGGAGGAGGAGACGCGGCTCCGGGGCGGGGTTATGTGGTAACAGATGTTGCACCCCGGGCTCTACCAACTAACTGGGCATTTAGGGAGGGAAGTCGTGACGCGGGCTGGGCCCTCTGGGCCCCAGAGAGTTCTGGGGCTCGGGGCGGGGTTATGTGGTAACAGATGTTGCACCCCGGGCTCTACCAACTGGGCATTTAGGGAGGGAAGTCGTGACGCGGGCTGGGCCCTCTGGGCCCCAGAGAGTTCTGGGGCTCGGGGTGGGGTACGAATTGGCCAAGCAGGTGTGATAAGGATGTTGTCAGTCAAGCACCGTACTCACTTGGTTCGTGAAGATAGAGAAAAATGAAACAGTCTTGTCTCAAAGCCCTGGTCTGAGGGGAAGACAGTCCAACCTTACGGAGATTCCTGCCCAAGAGGCAAGACACTGTTCGCCCTCGGAAGTCTCTGAAGTCAGAGGAGTAAATTTGGCTTGTCCTTTGGCTTTTCCTCAGTCTGCCCGATCACCATTCTCTACCTGGGGTCCCACTCCCCAGCCCAGCCCCAGTCCGGCCCCAGACTGATGGGGAGATGCAGTCATCGCCCTTCCATGGAGCGTTAATCTGGAGCCAGTGTGCTGGACTGGTCTGGAGTGAGAAAGCAAGTCTGTTGGTGGCCAGTCTGACAGTCTCAAAGTAGGGCAGTGAGAGCCTCACTTTGGCCAAGAGAGGTCATGGGCAGTAGGAGCTATGTATGAGAAACACTGAAGAGTTTAACCTGCAGGATTTGGCACCGGGTGGAATTCAGAACTAAAACTTTTGTGGTTGGATGAGGGACCCCAAAAAGAAGGCCGTGTGAGGAGCTTATTTGAGGGAAGGTTGGTTTGGGAATTCCCGCCCCTCCCCTGTGATAGTCTTATTGAGATAGAATTCACATACTATATACTTAACCCTTTTAAAACGTATATTTTAATAATTTCTAGTATGTTCATTGACTTGTGCATCCTTCACCACAATCAATTTTATTATTATTATTATTAAGATTTACTTATTTATGCATACAAGAACTGGGGTACAGGCCAGAGGTGTGGGGTGAAAGGATTCACCAGAGACAGAGTGGGGAGCAGAACAGGCAGATTGACTGAAATACACTGCTGAGGAGGGCATCAGGGGAGACAGGAGAGGTCTGTTGCTCCATGTGGGTCAGTTCCCTGGCCAGGCATGCTGCAGTGGCTGTGGATAGCGTCATAGTGCTGCGCTTTAACCCCTTGTGCCCCTAGGGAGGCCCCTGTTCATTTCTTTTTGACCAGTTTCTTTTGCAGGGTACTTGCTTTGGTGAGAACTTGGGGAGAGGGCAGAGATCCATCCACTGGTGTGTCAGAGTTCATGTAAGGCAGTTTTAGCCAGTAAAGGAGTATGTTCTAAAATTGATTGTGATGTTTTCACAACTTAATATACTTAAAAACAGTGAACTATACACCTTAAGAGAGTCAAGTATGTGAACAATATCTCAATAAAGCTGTCGTTTAAAACAATCACAAGAGGCTGCGTCTAGGCAGCTGGGTCCCCTTGCTGCACAGCTTGAGGGCCTACGTGAAGGCCAGGCCACACGTTTTCAAGAACAGAAGCCTTGATTCAAGCCTTGATGGACGTGCGTGCATTCTAGGATTTCTAGCTGTTAGTCACATCAGATTCGTAGCTCACTAGATGGAGCAGTGACCTTTAATTATGTTCCTGATGTGCCGTTGTCTTTCCAGAAGGGAGAGGGAAGGAAGGGAATCCAGTATTTATGGTGCCCTCTATGTGCCAGTAGCAATAACAGCCACCTAGCTACAATTCACATCTGTAGGTGCTTCCTTTGAGAGTGGCACTGGGCTGGGTGCTTTGTGTGCGAAATGCCTGAGTCCCTCGGCAGCTCCTTGGCTGGTACTCTCCCTGCCCCATTTTATACCAGAGGCTGTGGAGGGAGAACCTGTCCAGAACCTGGGCTCTTGACTGCTAGTGTGTGGACTCTGTCTTGCTTGGTTCTTGCCTTTGAGTTGTCCTCTCTGACTAGGAGATGTTGGGGGTGGCACCTGGGTTCCAGAAAGAGGAGAGCAACACCCAGGCTTTGTGCTCTTAGATGGACAGAAACCCCAGTCTTCCTGGATAGGCTTGTGCCTGGGATTTTAGTTTGGGGGTGCCCCAGGCTTGGGGCTCACCCCACCCTACCACCTTTCCCAAGCATGTCCAGGCCTGAGGCCTCCAGTATGGGGCAGAGACACTCAAAGACGTAGGTAGATCTCAGGTCCAGGGATCCTGAGGCCTGGTGCCTCCAGAAACCTCTGCACCAGCAGTGGAAGAAGGTGCTGCTTCCTGGGGAAGTAACTATGGAAGAGGAAGTTTCGGGATACCCCCGGATGCTGAAGCCTTGAAGTCTCCAAAGACCGACCGACTTCTGTTTTACTTCTCAGGGAGTTCCTGACAACCAGAATCTAGAAGTAGAAGTATGAGCTCACCTTTGGCTTCCCTTGGCAAGACCCGGAGAGTGCCTCTGCAGTCGGAGCCTGTGAACCCAGGGTCGAGAGCCCACCTCAGCTGTAGTGTCCATGCCCCGCCTCCCTTAGAGGATGACTTCTGCGGCTTTGCACCCCTGGGAGGCTCTGTGTTGTGTCTGAACATGCCGGACCGAGGCTCGGCCTGGGTGCTGGAGGGGCCAGGCACCCACTGACGCACTATTTCCCTAGTGGGCCTACAAACCCACCGTATCAACTCCAGGCCACCATGTGTTGGGCTCAGTAAAGGCTCCCCTTTCCTTCTGGGTAGCACTCCCATCTTTTCATGGTATTTTCACCTCTCTCCTTGGCGTTCTGAATACCCCTATGACTCAAAAGCCAAGGGGGTCCAGAGAGGTGAGGGTTCAGGCTTGCCTGGGGCCCTACAGTCATGTCAAGGCAGAGCTGGGTCTGGGCTCCTGGGCTGGAGACCTCTTGCCATTGTCCTCCCCAGACTGCTTTTAGGCCTTCTGGATCCTTCTCCATGGGGGCATTCATTCGGACTCTTCCAAGCCTTAGCTCCCCCAGTGCCAGGAGATGGGTGTGCTCAGGAGGCAGAGACCCAGCTGGGGGCCTGGTATCCAGAGCCTGACCCCTGATGCCACAGGGGGTCCTGACTTTGTCTTCCTTCCCTTCCTGCTGGGCTCCCAGGAGACGAAATTTAAAAGTCTATGGAGATGGTAAGTGTAGGCTGTGCCCTCTTGTCTCCCAGCTCCTGCCTGCCTGGTCTCCTGTGGTCAGGCAGGGGGAGATGATGCCTGGGAGCCAGAGCAGCCTACTCCTTTCAGGGCCAGGGCTTCCTTCTGGCAGCTCTCAGATTAGGACACCCCATGCCCTGAGTAGCAATGCCATTGCCAACGGTTGAACCGCACCCCCACACTTTGCCACTCCCCCCTGCAGCCTGGCTGGTGTGTCCTGAGAGTTAGCCAGCCCAGCCGGCAGACCCGCCCCCTCCCCGACAGGCTCTCAAGGCCTGTCCACATCACTGCCCTGGCTCCTGCAGTCTCAGACACACCCCTCCTACTCCCTCTGTGGCCCTGGAATTGGCCACCCAGGGCCCTGGGGAGCCAGGCTGGGAGAACTCCACAAAGAATTTGGGCGGCACCTATCCTCATACTCCTTGGGGGAGAGAGTACAGGTCATTTCACTGTGACCAGGGCCCTGGGGCCCAGTGCCCTCTGGCCTTGACCCCAGAGCAGTGACCTGGGCATTCCTGTTTGCAGAAGATGAGGTGGACGTGCTGAGTGATGGACACGAGTCAGAAGAAAAGATCGTTGTTCCTGCCTGCTATGGACGCATAGGTGCCCCTGTGAGTAGGCAAGGTGAGAGGAGCTGAGGGCTTTGGGTCCCCAGCAGCAGAAGGCCCAGAGGAGGGGCACATGCCCTCCCCTGCTGGGCCTATGAGAGACCCTCTCACTCCTGGCTGGCTGTGGCCCTGTGCCTGTGCCCTCCACCTGTCCACAACCAGGTTGGGCATAAATCCATGTAGGCCCGCTCTTAGCCCAGGAGATCTGGAGTGGACCTGGCTGGGGTCGCTACCAGGTGTCATGTCAGTGGGTCTAGGATTCAGGGTGTGGGGTGAAGCCTGGGGTGAATCTTGGGTCAGAGTCTGAGCTGGGAGTCCAGAGAAATTGGGGGTGCAGTGAGACTTTCCATTGGCCAAAGTATCTTGGGTAAGCAACTTCTGGTTCGGGCTCCGTCTGCTCTGGCATGGTGGGAATGGGAAGCTCCATGAAGATTCGATGAGGCAGCCCGCCACCAAGTACCCCTCCTCGCTTTTACAGGTGGAGGAATTGGGGTGGAAAAACAATGGCTGGTCCATCCCACAGCCACTCAGTTCACAAAGCCAGGCTCTCCTTGCCCTCTGCAGGTGGGGGGGTTTAGCAGTTACCACAACCACCTGCTGTTCCCTTTGAAGACCACCACATGCTCCCTCTCATTCCTTCGCCTTCACCTTCCGTTCCTTCACCTTCCGTTCCTCACCCGTGTGCAGCCTGCATCCGTCCCCACCAAGGTCCCGCCTGTCCTGCTGCTGCTCTCTGCACAGTCCACCCTGCTCTCCTCAGAAGTGCCATGTGCTTGGCCTCCATGACACTCGCTCCTGATGTCTTCAGCCTCCCAGGCGCTTTCTCCTCAGCTCTTGGCTTGCTCCTCCTTGCCCCCGCTTGTCAGTGAGGTATTCCTCTTGCCTGGGTTCTCTGCTCTCGCTCCACGCTGCCTGTGAGCTTCTCCTCACTCCCTGCGCTGACAGTTCTCAATATTTCCTCTAAGAAGCTTTCAACTATAAGTCAACAAAAGCCTCTACCAGAGTAGCATGGATATTAAGGGGGAGTCCTCATCCCACATTCCAAGAAGCCAGGAGGAGGCAGCTCCAGGGTTGTTCAACCAGCCACTCAAAAAGACATCACTGGAAGTTTGGGTCTCTCCAGGTTCTCAGCGAGTCATTCTTGGCCTGTCAGCTGTGTGGTCACACAGTGAAGAGCACCATATACGGGTGCAGAGGGCATTTCTCCATGTGTCTTTCTCTTCCTTACTTTCATTTCCTCAAACTTTCATTTGAAAAAGTCCCAGCATGAGCCCTCCCTGGTGGTGCAGTAGGCTAGGACAGTGCAGCACTGCAAGCTGGCCACAGCTGCCTCAGTGCGAGTTCGGCCCCGCCCTGGAGCTGACCCACATGGCGCGGCAGAGCTCTCCTGACCCGCCCGCTGCTCCCCTCAGCAGTGTACTTTGCTGATCTACCTCTTCTGCCCCCTCCTCTGTCTGGTGAATCCTCTTGCCGCCCCTGCATCTCTGACCTGTACCCCAATTCCCAATTTGTGTACATAAATAAATAAATCTTTAAAAAAAAAAAGAGAAAAGAAAATTCCCAGCATGCAGAAGATCGCAGTGTGCTGAAAATAAGCGTCCAGCGAACGCCCTGTGGCATCCTTGACCCTGTGCCACATTTGCTTGCTTGCTCCGCACACACAGGTATAAATATAAATGTTTACTGTTGGGTGAGCCCTCTAGAAGTCACAGGTATCGTGACGTCCGAACACTCCAGTGCGCATCTCCTAGGATAGGCCACCCAGAGCCACAGGTGACGGTCATGTCGGTGACTGAGTGACTTTCCCACAGCTCTTCTGCAGCCACGTCTGCCCAGTGTCCAAGCTCCTCCAGGTTCTCATCCTGGGCCTGAGCTCTCGGGGACGGCCGTGCCTCATACTTGCCTTTAAAAACAGGACATTGACTCTTTGGGGCGTCCAGGCCACCTATGTCACAGCATGACCTCCGCCCTTTTTAATGATTGACTTATTTATGCACACAAGAGCTAGGTTGCAGGCCAGAGGTGTGGGAGGTGAGAGGATTCACCAGAGACGGTGGGGAGCAGGACAGGTGGAGAAATCTTAGGGATTATGCACTCTGTAGTGCTATGTAACTTTCCATGAGTGATCTCTAACAACTTTTATTTCAGGAAGGATGAAGTAGTCTTATATTGAAGCACTTGCTTACATACATAGAATTGGTGAGGAGTTTAAGGAGAACCAGTGATAGAATCTAGAACCAGTGAAAGGATGAGGGGAGAAACCCTTGATTTGGGCTATACAGACCCAGAATTCTTTTTATTTATTTATTTATTTATGCTTACAGAACTGGGGTACAGGCCAGAGGCGTGGTGGGTGAGAAAATTCACCAGAGACAGAGTGGGGAGCAGAACAGGCAGATTGATAAGTACCCTGCTGAGGGGAGCAGTAGGCGGGACAGGAGAGGTCTGCCGCGCCTGTGGGTCAGCTGCCTGGCCGGGGCACGCTGCATTGGCTGTGGGCAGACTCAGTGCTATGACTTAAACCATTGCACCACCAGAGAGGCGTCTGCTTGCTCACCTGGGATGAGGTTTGACTGCTCCTGTGTCTGCTGTTTCCTTTACACCAGGGGTGAGGTTGGGGTGATGCTTCCTTTGATGGAGAGTGACCTTTTGCTATTTCCTGGGTAGTCCCTGTTTTACACGACTCAGAGCTGACAACCAGCCTGATGAGCAACATGAAGGACCTGGAGCGGCAGGTGAAGGCCCAGACTGACGAGATGCTGACCAAGGTGGGGCCCGAGGAGGGAAAGGGTCAGGATCTGAGCCATAAGTTTGAGTTAGGGGGTCCAGACTGGGGAGGTCGTGAGACTTCCTGTACCATAGGCCAAGGTGAAGGGATGCTAGAACAGTCTTCCCTACAGAACTGCCCAGATCGGGGGCCAGGGTCCCTGGGACCTGAGTGGGGAGGCTCGGGGGCTTCTGTACCCTAGCAAGGCACATTGACCTCAGGCTGGCTGCCGAGTGCTGGGGTGCTTTACACCATCCCCCATTTCAGTGGAAGCTGAGGGCTGTCCGAGGTACAGGAATGGTTGCTGTGCCAAAGTGGGGGGAAGGGTGAGGACTTTAAGCTCCCCTTGCCCATAGACACAAAAATGCTGGATTCTCCCATCCAGAAGGGGATCTCTCAGGCCCTGGGAACCATGAGGCCTGCCCCACCCCACCCCTCATCCCCTCTCATCTTCTTGCTGCAGGATCGGAAGATCCAGGCCCTGGAGGAGTTGGTGCAGACTCTGCAGGAGCACCAGGGTGAGCGCCCTGCGTCTCCCGGGTACCAGCGCTCCCAAGTCCTTCGAGCTGAGCCCCATGGTGGGGTCCAGACAGCTGAGGCCAGAGAGGGGCAACGGCACCCTCTCGGGGGGCCTCCTGTGGGGCTGAGGGCCCTGAGTGCACCCAGTTCTGGCAAGGGCATGCCAGAAGGGCAAGGGACAGCCCCCGCAGAAGCCTCTCCAGGTGGGAGGTGTGGGGCAGGATGTCCCTTTCAAGGCCAGGAAGAAGCCAAGAAGCAGTTCTCAGGGATTCCTCAAGTTCTCAAGGGACCACCGCTCCAGATGACCCCAGGGCAGAGTGCAGGTCCAAGCCTGCACTGGCAGGCTCCACTCCACATCTCTTCCTGAAGGCAAGGCCACCGAAAAGCGGCAGAAGGAGCTGGAGAGCCTGTGTGCGAGCCTGCAGCGGCAGGTCGGGGAGATGGAGGTGAGACCAAAGGCCCAGACTGCCCCGTATTTGCGGGTGAGCTCCCGCTCTCTGGGCGCCCCCACCCCTAGCCCTCACAGGTCCTGCCCTGGGTCTCCACTACTCATCAGAACAAGGGCCAGGGAGTGTGCCAGGCTTCTACCGCCTCCTCAGTCTCAGCTGGGGCTGCTCTCCCCTCCAGCCAGTCCTTGGGCCACATCTAGCTCTTTCGGGACCTTGGCTCATGCTCTTCCCTCTACCCAAAATGTTTTTTGCACCTTCTGGTGAGCGAGTTTTTGCTCAGCCTCAAGTGGAGGTGGGGGTTCTCCTTTCCTTCAGGGGCCCTCCTGACCTCTGGCTAGGGAAGGTTCTGGTCCTGTGCTTCTCAGTGGCTTCATATTCCTCCTGGGTGGAACTCCACAAGGGTGGGAAGGACCACTTGCCTCATGTCATTGCGGCACATCTGTGGCCTAGCACAGAGCCACAGGCTCTGTAGCACAGAGCCTGGCTGTGGCCCTGCCTCTGGACATGGTGCCACACCCACCCAGTGTCACCTTCCTGCCCCAGTTCATACAGCCAGGCTTGCACTGGAGGGACCCTAGCCATGGGGTGTGGGTCCTGGGTGCACGGACTTCCTTAGCCGTCCCCTGCTTCTTCATCAGCCCCACCACAAGCTCTGCGATCTAATCTCTCCTCCACCCAGAGTTGGTTTCCAAAGCCTGGACCTAATTTAAAAGACCACAGAAGCAAACCCTGAGCACCGCTGCAGCTGAGTCCCACCTGGGCCTGTTCCTACCTGGAGTTGTGCGTAGACACAGCTGCTACCTGCGTGGCTGCTAGAAATGCTGGCAGCCCACAGGACTTCTCTGAACAGGCTGTTTGGGGTGGGGGTTTGGGGGGAGAAGGGGAAGTGGGAGAGGTTTACAACAGGTTTACAACATTCACACAGGATTTCCTTCTTAACGTGAATCATTTCTCCTGTGTGCCAGACCTGCCGGGTCCTGAGATATAGGCATGGCCCCTGCCCTCCTCAGGCGGTTGGGGGGGGGGGGGGGGGCAGAATCAAACAAGATCACAGCAAGATACTCAAGGATGAGGAAATGTTTACATGGTGCTGCAACAAAGATACCCTGTGTTACAGGCCATGCTGTAACGCTGGGCAAGAAGGCCGGAGGGGGTAGCAAGACAGGCTGAAGAGGCCCTCCCCAGTGGTGCAAGGGGTTAGGGCACAGCACCATGAAGCTGTCTGCAGCCACTGCAGCACGAGTTAGATTCCCAGCCAGGGCGCTGACCCACAGGGCGCGGCAGACCTCTCCTGTCTCAGCTGCTACTCCCCTCAGCAGTGTACTTCATCGATCTGCCTGTTCTGCTCCCCACTCTGTCTCTGGGGAATCCTCTCTCCATCCCTGCACCTCTCTCCTGTGCCCCAGTTCTTGTATATGTAAATGGATAAATCTTTAAAAAAAAAAAAAAGATTTAAGCTGAAAAATACAAGCCTCCACTTCCTGCCAGATAAACTTGGTGTGTACTGAGGAGGCCAATGGGCCCACATCGTAGGGGCTTGCCTATCATCCAGGGCTATTTATTTTAAAGATTTATATTTATTTATGCATACAAGAACTGGGGTACAGGCCAGAGGTGCAGGGGTGGTGAGAGGAGTCACCAGAGACAGAGTGGGAAGCAGAACAGGCAGATTGACAAGTACATTGCTGAGGGAGCAGTGGGCGAGACAGGTGAGGTCTGCTGCACATCCAGGGCCAAATTCTGAGAACAGGAAACCATACCAGTTTCAGTTAGGGGGTTGCACAGGAAGGCAGAGCGAAGTGGGCCTGGGGGAGGTCTGGAGGGGAGGAGTTGGGAGCCATGACAGTTGGGGCCAGGTTCATGTTGAGATGCCCTTTAGTAGACATCCTGGGTAGATGGCTGAAAACAAGTCTGGGGTGCTGAGGGGGTGACACCTGCCTGTGATACAAATTTGGGTTCTGACCATAGCTCTCTGAGACTGGAGAGACGGGGGGATGAGCCCTGCGCCCCTCATGTGGCTGTTGGGTAGGACACGGGTAACCAGTGAAGGAAATTGAAAATGAATGACCTGTGTTGTAAGAGATGAAGACAGACTGGCTTTGGCAATGGGCAATTTGCTGGGGGCCGCATTTGAGCTGCTTTAGTGAGCTGTGAAGATGGAGGCCAGGTTGGAGAAGGCAAGGAGGGAAAGGGAGCTGAGGGTGCAGCAACAGGAATAGAGACAAGCCAATTGTCCTGAGGCAGAGGGAAGACGTAGCCCTAGGGAGGCATGTGTGGGTGACCTGCCCCTCCTCATGCTTAGGTCAGCCCCACACGGTCCTCCCCTCAGTGAGTTCTCGATGTGAACTGTCTTCTCGAGTCCTCCCAAGCTCTCCATTTTGACAAGGGTCAAGGCAGCGAAGCACTGTCCAAGGTCACAGCCCAGAAGTGGCCACCACTCCTGCCCTGGTGGTTCAGTCGCGAGGCCCGAGGCCAGCACTGTGCTGATAATGCCCTTTCTCTGCAAGAAGCTGAGCTGACTGTGCCCGGCACCTCCTCTCCTCTCCTCACAGAGGTTCCTTGGTGACTATGGCCTCAAGTGGGTGGGCGAGCCAGTGGACCAGGAAGACTCAGAGGACAGGACAGACTCAGAGGATGACGAGAGGGACTGGATGACCACCAAGAAGTTCTGGAAGCCAGGTAGAGTAGGGGTTCTGACCCCGGCTCCTCCTACAAAGGGAATTTTCCAACAGCAGCCAGAGGCCATGGCATTCATGCCCCTGGCTCCAAACACCAGGTGCCCCAATATAGCCCACACTTGACACGGGGCCAGGAAAATGCCCAGCTCCCCTCACAGACTACCTGACCAGCTGCCTCAAGCTGGTCTCTGTTCCCACTCATCTTTCGAAGACTTTAGAGACCCAGAGATAGAAGAGGCAGCAAGACCCCATTTGCTTCAGGCCCCATCGTTTACAGCGTCATCCGTCCCAAAGCTGTGGCCTTTACAAGCATTCCCTGGGAAGGCGCCTCTCAATCCCAGGGCTCACCCCCTCTCCTGACTCTCACCCCATTGAAACCTACTTGCTTCCATGGGGTTCACTTATTTGTGACTTGATTGCTAGTATCTAGAGAGAGGCAACCCATAGATTTGGGGTCACAGAATGGAACATTTCTGAAAGCCGGGCCCATTCTCTAGAGGGTGGGGGCTGCTGCCCAGCGGGTACTGCCCCAGGCTCGAGCTGGTCAAACGTGTGTCTTGTCTCCATACCACCTTTCAAAGTGTGGCTTAGGCATGGGTTTCTGTTTTCGGAGTCTCCCGTTCTTCTGTAAATGGGGGTGCACGCCTCCCCATGGAGTTACTGGGCACAGAGCACCTATCACTGACCTTGCGTTTCTCTGTCCTGACAAGTAGGAGCTTGTACTGGTTGCCAGGGTCAGAGGGCACTGGCAGTCTCCCAGGAGTGTGACATGTCTCCCTTGGGACTCTCAGGAGGTGGCAGCGCTCCATTTCCTCACTTTCCTGCTGGGTAGAAATTCAGACTCAAAAGCATGAGACTCCGGCTATGAGGCCTGACCTTTGGCCAGGTCCTCAGAAATCTCAGGGCTCAAGCCCCTCATTGCTTGTTCTAAAATCACCAGTCACCATTTGCAGCTTTCAAAGCAATTTCATAAACAGCCTTGCTGGACCAGGGGCGTTCTTGTTGACAGATGGGGAGCGGAGACTCTGAAGTCTGGACACCATTGAGGGCAAGACTTAAAAGCTCTCAGCCTGGAAGGTGGAGCCCAGAGCTGCGATGCTCTGGACTGAGGGTGTCACTGACAGGGTGCTGAGAAGCAGCAGAGAAGAGTTAGGGGTGACTGTACCAGAGGGACCAGATGGGAAGAGTCAGGGATGACCCCAGGGAGCACAGCTGTGGGTCTGAGGGGGAGGCTGTGCTTCCCGGGGCATTTGGGGCTCTGCAGAGCTGGGGAGCTGGGTGGCATCGGGCCATGCTGGGAGGCAGCTGGGTGGCATCAGGCCATGCTGGGAGGCAGCTGGGTGGCCCAGGACATGAGGCTCTGTTTGAACCTGGGCAGAATGCTGCTGTGGGGACAATTTCCGGGGTGACAGCCAGATGCTTTAGGAATGGCTGGCCCTGCCCACCGGCAGAGGCTTCCTCCCTGCGCCTCTAGGGAAAGGGTCAGCCCACTGTGCTGACTCCCCAGTCTGGCCCAGTGGGTTCCTCGCGTCCTTCCTCAAAAAGTGCAGCCGCCACCCCGCCCTGTGCTGTGCTGAGTACCCTGAGAGAGGTGGGCCCCAGGGCCCTGCCGCTGAGGGACCTGGAAGAAGGCACTGCCCACGCCCCTCTTAGCTGCCCTTGCTGCTTTAACAAGGAGGTGCCTGGATTTAGCACTTCTGCCAGGTGAACATGCTTTTAATTTCTAGCAGCCATTCCTCCTAGGTCCCCTCTCTCCAGGCTTCTTGTCTTGCCCAGGCCTAGCCCACTCCTGCCCCCAGGATGCTCAGATCCATGAGGCCAGCCTCTTGCTGGTGCAGTAGACAGTGTTGTCCTAGGCCCTCCTGGGGGGCACCACTCCCCATAGGCCCTGGGCTGCAGCCCAAGGGATGGGTGCCAGGGCACCTGCCTTGGAACAACCTGATTCATGTGCTCTGGAGCTTGGGCTTTAGTCCTGGGGGAGGATCAGTAAGGCCAAAAAGGGACCAACAGAACGGAAGCAGAGTAGGGGCTTCTCTTCTCCCCCAGGCCCCAGCAGGGTGAGCATCAAACTGGCGTAGTGCCAGGTACTCCAGGGTACTCAGTCCCGAAAGGGAGAGTCCTGCCCTGGTCGCCCACCCAGGTGTTGAACCTCAGATCCAGGGTTCTAGTCAACACTGGGCCCCTCTCCCTTCCCTCTTTCTGAATTCCTCTCCCCTTACCCCTCACTGAGTCCCTGCCCTCCCTGGAAACGCCCATGCCCTCTGCCATCTTCCCAGGCCCTAGGCGTTGGTCTCCTCCCTCCCCTGCATGGGAAGCCACTCTGCCTGGCTTGTTCTGGGCCTTGAGCCCCCAGGCAGGCTGGGCTTCTGTCACCCTGACCCCCACTCGGGCTTGTGATGTGCAACCCAGTTCATTTGAAGCTCAGCACAAACCCAACCTCCAGCAAATGGGCATGGAGTGTCTACTTGTGCCAAGTCAGGTCTGCTCTGGGAGGTGGTGACATGGGCAGGGGTTTTGTGGCAGAGGGGGATAAAAGGGCCTCACGCTGACCTCAGCTGGTATGGGCCACATGCCTCGCCTGAGTCTGCCCCCATCCGGAAGGAGGACAGTGTGAGTGACCTCGGGACCACAGAGCGCTGTGTGTGGGCCGTGTTCTCAGGGCTGCTGATAAACGGACAGTGACTGGAAGTTCTTGTTACTTAACCCTTTAGGCCTCGTGTGCCCCCAGGCCTGGGTGTGTTTACATACCCAGCGAGCTACTGGAACTCCTTTTGGGTTGGGAAAGTGAGGCCAAGCTCTGGGGGGAGGGGAGGGTGGTGTCCAGATCTACATCAGAGCAGGTGGGACTGCCCTGTGCCAGCTGGGGGGTGGGGTTGTGTGGAGTTGGGGGTGGGCTAAGGATTGTGGTGTGAAATGTAGAGAAGTCTCCAGAGCAAGACCTGGCTTTCAGTTGTGTGGAAACAGCAGTTCTGTTTCCTGTTCAGCTGCCTTTGCCTGAGCTGGGAACAGGGCAGCCAGGCACCTCAGACTCTAATGTGGTATTTCGCAGCACAGGGCCAGTCTGCCTGGGCCCATCACACACCTGGGCTCACGGCAGCAGGTCTGGTGCCACTCTCAGCTTTTGTCCCTGTCTCCTCTATGAGTGTGAGCCTGCAGAGGCCAGGACCCTGGTAGGGGCACAGCTGTGGTTTGCAGGGCCTGGCTGACACACCAGAGGGTGGCGGGGCTGACCAAGTTGACGTGTGTGCAACAGGCAGCCAGCCTGGCGGGCCCGCAGCTGGTTGCCCTTTCTGCCCACGAGTGTCTGTGGGTTGGGGAAGACAGCCTGCGGCAGGGCCGGGGAGTACAGGCAAAGGCTCCAGGAAGCCAGGAGGAGGGTGCTCAGCTCAGAGCAGGTGGCGAGAACCCCTGAACCCCTCAGCCTGCCTGAGCAGAGGGTGGAGTGTTAATGGTGACAGCCCCGTCACCTGCCAGCACTTCCTCTGCATTGCTCAGCAACTGTGTGTGGTGGGGTCATTACTGTCTTCATCTTAGAGAGGAAGCCCAGGCTTGGGGCAGCCATGCAGGTCAGCAGTGTGAGGTGGGGGGAGCGTTGAGGGGCCCTGCCAGCCCCTGCTGACCTCAGACCCAATCTCCATGCCTCCCCACTCTGAATAAAGTCACAGACTCCCAAAGGGCGAGGCCTTCTGGAGGGGCACCCTGTTCTGTGCTCCTTGCAAATGGACCTGGGTGAGCAGTGGCCAAAGCAGCAGCCCTGAGAGGCAGCCTGCATGGTCACTGAGGCCTTGGCCATGGGCCTGCCAGCTTCCTGACAGGGCCATGTCCCTTCCACGGCCTAGTTTCCTCAGCTGTCCAATGGGAGACCCACCTGCATTTGGTGCTTGTAACATCAGCATCTGCAGGGCTGGAGTCTGTGGGCAGAGGAGGGTTCCTGTTACCTTCCCACTTCATGGGAAGGAAACTGCTTGAAGAGGAAACAAAATGCCTCATTTACTTCTGACCCACCAACCCCTGATGATACTTGCCTGACCATCCCACTTTTACTTCTCTAGGCCTGCTGGCCAAGGGCCCTCGTGGGGATTTTCTCAGCTTATTTCCCTTTTCTCTCATAGCTTCTTAGCATCTGTCCAAGGGGATTTCCCTGTCCCTTTTTCCACCACTCCCTGCCCATAGTTTGCTAAAAGACCCTGCCCAGAAGACAGCTGTGCCACCTGCCAGCATATCTGAGGGGATGCCCTGGCACTGCTAAGCCAGGCCTCACTTTTCCTGCCTATGAGAATATATAGATGGGGCCAGGTGTTGAAAGAAATGAGCTTTCCTGTTGCTATTTTTAGGTTTACCAAAAGTGTGAAAGTGGTTTTTAAAGAAAACTAATGTCCTGATATCACTCTGACTCATATCAGGGCTGCTCCAGATGTTCTGTGAGTTTTTCTGGGTTATCTCGGGGACCCAGGGGATATGAAGGGGTTTGGGGCAGATGTGACCCTTCCTCAGTAGGAACTGAAAGGGAGAGGGAAGGCCAGCTGGGGCTATCGTTTGTGCAGCCACAAAGCAACGGAAACTGGCTGCCCACATCTGAGCTTCTCCAGCAGACACCATAACTCTGGGGACAGAAATCGGCATCTTATGGGTCCTGACCCACATCCTGCCACAGGATCCTGATCAAAACAGCTTCTAGGAAGGCCCAGATATACCCCAGAAAGTCACTGGGTTTCTGTGGGGCTACTCCCTGGAAGGTGCCTTTCCCAGGACCATGCCCCTGTGAGGATAGAGAGCCTGACCCCGCGGCAGCCCACTGCCCTCGGCCATGCTTGCCCTGACGTGCGTGGGGGCTGTCTTCCTGCCCCTCCCCGCCACTGCACTACCAGACGCTTAGGCACAGCTGTATGTACATTTTTCAGAAGAGGAGCCCAAGACTTCTGTCAGCTTCTCAAAGGGATCTGTGACCCAGAAGTAGTCGCACAATCCAAGGGCTGGCTCTTCTCTGTTCTGTCCACAGCTGTCCTGATGTCCTCCTAACAGCCATCTGTGTCTGCTCTGATTTCCTTCTCTGTGCACATGGGTGGGGAAAACAGACTAGAGCCAGCCCCTCTGACCGAGGGCCTCTTCCCTCATGCAAACTAGAGGCAACTCACCCATGCCCTACAGCCTCAGGGTGGCCTGAGGCCCACCTGTGTGTTACTCACTCATAGGGACAGCACTTGCTCTCTACCTCACTACCCGCCCTTCCACGGTCATCTTTGTGGACCTGTACAGCCACCTCAGGAGGCAGAGACCATTATCACCCCCTTCTAGAAGGCTCTGATGCAAATGGCTTGAGCCCCACAGAAGAGGAGGTGCTGGGACTTGAGCCCAGACAACCTGGGCCCAGAGCCTCCGCCTGCCTCACTCTGTGCCCCTGGCAGGCCCTTAGCCCTCCCTCACCCGCAGTGGCCGCATCTGAAAAGGGAGGCTTACAGCCTTGACAGCAGCATCAGTGTGGGGAGAGAGTGCGTTCATGGCTGTGCCCCCGCACAAGCCCGTTATCACCCTGTCCATGTCCTCCGGGTGCCCGCTGCCCCCACGGGGAGGGGCACACGGCAGCTGTGAAGAGCAGCTCTCCAGTGTTTCTGTCATTGTCAGGGGACTCGCTGGCACCCCCAGAGGTGGACTTTGACAGGCTGCTGGCCAGCCTGAAGGATCTCAGTGAGCTGGTGGTGGAGGGTGACACCCACGTGACGCCGGTTCCTGGGGGTGCGCGGCTCCGCACCCTGGAGCCCATCCCGGTGAAGCTCTACCAGAATGGCATCGTCATGTTTGAGGGGCCCTTCCGGCCCTTCTGTGATCCTGCCACACAGGTAAGGGGGAGGGGAGACAAGACTGGGGGGGTCACTCCCGGGCTGCTCTGGGGCCCCCTCCACCCCGTTAGTTGAAGATGGTGGTGCCTCCCCAGGCATCCAGGCCATGTGGAACTCACAGAGGCCCTGAGCCCAAGGCTCAGTGGTTGCAGAGTGTGATCCATGAGCCCGTCTGGAGCAGGGTGGGCAGCGCTGCGCAGGTCCAGCTGGGCCTCACCCTTCCTCTCCTCGCCGCAGCGCTGCCTCCGAGACATTTTCGACGGCTTCTTCCCCTCAGAGCTCCAGCGCCTGTACCCCGATGGGGTTCCCTTTAAGGTAACGGGCTGTTCCTCACTCAAACCACCCATTCTCCCAGCTGGGATGAACAATTGCCTCAGCCAACCCCATTCTGAGGCAGTGGCCACTGTCTCGCCTCAGGGGGCCCCAGTTGGATGACACCGCAAGAGGCTGAGCCTGAAGTTGGGCTGAGAAGGGAGAGGGAGAGCTGCCGTGGTGGGGTTACCACATCAGGGGTGTAGGCCTTTGGCAGAACAACAGGCAGTGCCCCCTGCTGGCACTCTGCAATCATAGCCTTTAGGGAAACTGCTCCTCCCCAGCACTCAGGGAGGCCTGAGGCAGTATGCAGAAGTGGCCTGGCTTCCCCCAGAGACTCCTGACACCATCCGGCTGGGTGGGAGGCAGCCCGGGGGACTACAGGACATGACGGAGCCGTCCCCGTGGGGGCAGCGTGTGGGGTGGAGGGTGTTGTGAAGGGAGTGGGAAGCAGCATCCCAGAGGGCTGTGCGCTGTTTCACAGCAGGGGCATGTGAGGGGGCATGTGCCACACAGCTTGTGTGCGTGACTCACGCGTGGGGGTGCTGGAGGCAGTCTGTGTCAAGACAGGCCGGAGGTGCGCTGAGAGCCAGTGAGACCATGTGTGGCGATGGGGTCTGGGGCCGGCTCTGGCCTGGCGTGCTCCTGAGCGGGCGCTCTGAGGAGGGTGTCAGGACTGGCTCCTGCTGGCAAGCCGAGGGCACTGAGAGGAAGAACGGTGCCCTCCTGCGCTCTCTGGACCTCGGTTTTCTCCTTGAGATGGCGTCAGATCATACCTCGGACCCATTCCTGGGGCCTGTTTGGGCAAGGGGGGCTAAAGGGGTGAAGTCCAGGGTTGAAGACCAGGGCCCCCTCTCTCTCCTTTCTTTCTTGCTAGGTGAGTGACCTACGCAATCAGGTCTACCCAGAGAATGGGCAAGACCTGTTCCCCGGAGAGGGGCGCACGGTGGGCCGGACCATTCGCAAGGCCTCAGACAAGATGGAGCACCCAGGTGAGCTCGGCCTTGAGAAGCAGGGGGCCTTCTCCCCTACCACCCACAGTCTTTCCCTGGGCCAAAGCCTCTCATGCCCTCCTACAGGCTCCGGGATGACCGCTGAGAAGTTTCTGAACAGGCTTCCCAAAATTGTGATCCGGGAAGGCAAGGTGGTTGATATCCGGGGCCCCATCCGTGACACCCTGCAGGTGAGGCCAGCTCTGCTCCCCTAGCCTTTTGGGGGGGGGTTTCCATTAAGCTTGGCCCGGCCTATTAGACCAGTGATTTGTGTAGAGGTCCGGGCTTGAGGCTGGGGGCCCTGAGGAGGACCTGGAAGGAGAGGTGAGTCCTTTCCACCGAAGCAGGAGAGGACTCTGGACTTGGCCCAGAGAGTAGCTGTGTTGGTGGGAGTGAGGCTGGAAGGGGGAAAGTGAGTCTAGGCCAGGGTGGGCCCCTTGAGGTGCAGAGCTAGATATCCAGCTCAGTCCAGGATGCACTTCCCTCAGACTCAGCTTCCTCTCCCATTTGGCTGCTCATAGCCACCACCTGTGGAAGGTACCAAACCTGTTCCCTAGGACTCCTGCTGACAGGCTGACCCCCAGAGCTTCTCCCAAGTTCACCCCTTCTCATTCCTGCTGCCCACCGTCCCGGTTCAGGCGCTGGTGTCTCTCGGGACCTCAGTAGTGGCCCATCACTGGCCTCCCGCCTCTAGTCCTGACCCAGCCAATCACCCATCCTTTGTATTCTTTTGAAAATCTGAATTGACTCTTGACTCTTCCCCATCGAAACCCTCCAGTGGGTCCCGACGCCGGTCCCCTTCCCACCTCCAGCCTTTCCTCCTCCCAGTCCCACCTGGCTCCCAGCGTCATCCACGCGAAATGCAGACACCCGCTAGTGCCTGGCTCTTCTCAGGAGACGTCTGGAATATCCTGCCCCTCTCGCCATTTCTAAGGACTCCGCCTCATCCTTCAGCCACAGCTTAGGTGTTGTCTCCCCTGGGCAGCCCTGGCTGACTGCTGGACGTCCAGCCGCGCGCTCTTCCAGGGCTTGGGCGGAATGATGAGGCTGCCTGCCAGAGCTCCCCTTCCTTTCCTCTCTGTGGGTCCCAGCAGCACAGAACACCGCTCCCATTAACTTGTTGGCCTCATCCATCCCTGCCAGGGATAAGACCCCTTTTGGGGTTGGGGGACGGGATGTGGCTCTGGTATGGCCCAGGGCTCCATCACTGCCTTGCAGAACTGCTGCCCTCTGCCTGCCCGGATCCAGGAGATTGTGGTGGAAACGCCTGCCTTGGTTGCTGAGCGAGAGAGGTGAGGACATTGCAGAGGTGAGGACCTTGGGGTTGCCTGCCAAGGCTCGCATCTCATCCCGTAGGGCGTTGTCCTGGGAGATGTCCACCAGCTGGTACTGGGATGCGCTTTCCATCCAGGATGCGGGTCACCTCGCTCTGCTGGGACTTGATCTGAGGGCAGAGGGCAGGCAGGAACTCAGCGTGGTTGCCCACCTGGGGCACTGACGGCCTGTGGGCCCCTGCAGGAGCCAGAAGGCGCGAGAGTTGCCCTCTCGCCCACTCTCCATGCTGCGAATCAAGTCTGAGAATGGAGAGCAGGTCTTCCTGCTGATGATGAGGCCGGAGGACACTGTTGGGGACGTGCGGACCCTGCTCGCACAGGCCAGGTGGGTGCAGGCAGAGGCCGGCGTCCGTGGGGGACTTGCTCTGAAACTCAGTCCAGGCCTGACCTGCCCTACCCTGTCCTCAGGGCTGTGGACGCTGCGGCCTTCGAGATCTTCAGCACATTCCCGCCCATGGTTTACCATGATGACGCGCTGACGCTGCAGGTGGCCGGCCTGGTCCCCAATGCAGTGCTGCTGCTGCGTCCACGCAGGAGCCAGCTGCCCGCCCCCAGCCCCAAATAAAGCGCCCAACACCAGCTGCTGCTCTGTGAGGCTCTCTGGCAGCCCAGCACCCGGGAAAACCCCAGGCCCAGCTGGGCCCAGCAGAGGTGGGCGGCGTCGGCCCGCCCCTTGGTAACTTGAGCCCCAGCTGGTGGGCCTGGCCGCTAGGTCTTTGTCTGAGAGTTTCCTCCTCCCGGGAAAGGCCAAGCTGGTCCAGTGGTGGAAAGGCCGGTCTCAGCTCAGTGGTGGCTCCAGCAGCACAGCCCCAGGGCTTGCACTCTGCTGTACACAGATTTTTCGGAACCACAAGCGCGTGGGATGCTGCATCAGCATGGCCCAGTGCTGCCCGGAAACTGGCGCTCCACAGCTGTGTGCACACCCCCACGGCACGCCCACTGGGCCGAGGAGCACAGGCCACCCCCGCAGAGCCCTGGTTACTGACAAGCATGCAAATGGGCAGGCCACCACAGGACACAGGTGTGCTGTGGACACCATCACACATGCATGTGAACGGGAGGCCGCCCATCACAATGTCCCCAGAAGCTGTTGGTCCACACAGGTCGTGTGCTGGGTATTTATCCAAACACATGCACTGTCACACACACAGGTGGACACCAGCCCACTAAACTGGCCTGCACACAGGAGCACAGCCTCGGCGCAACCACATCTACCAGTCTTGTCCAGAGCAGGGATCCAGGCCACTCGACCATATCAGACAGACACAGTGCCAATGGAATGGGGCATTTAATTGTCTCTGGGATGTTCCCGGGACAGGGATTGCGGGGCCTTTGGCAGAGCCCTGGCTAGTGGAGCCAACCAAGGGGTCCATCAGCCAGGGCCAGGTAGAGTGGCAGCCCCAGGGCCTGGCTGAGGGCAGCTAGCATTGGGGCTGTGAAAGTAATTTCTGAGAATAGGAGGTAAGGAATGTTGCTTATGAATGGGAAAGGGGGCTATGGTTAGAGGGGAGATGGGAACTGGGCCGGGGGGAGGACGCCCAGATCGGGATGTCAGGAATGACAGGGAAGTGGTCACAAGGTCCTTCATGGCCGGCAATGGCTGAGGGGAATGTGGTCCAATGAGCTGGCTTGGCTCAGGCCAGTTTCAGGAACTCCTGCAGTGTGTTCTGCTCCACCGCCTCCACGAAGAGCTCGTAGTCCTGGGGGAAAGGAGGGGAGAGGTGGTCACCTATGTGCTGGTGCTTTGTCCCAGGCCTCACTCTGGCTGGAGCCCACCTCCGACACGCCCCAGCCCCAGGACCATACCCCACAGTACTGGTCCCCGTTGACAATCTGGGGTGGAGTGGCCTTGGGGTTGCCTGCCAACGCTCGCATCTCATCCCGTAGGGCGTTGTCCTGGGAGATGTCCACCAGCTGGTACTGGATGCGCTTTCCATCCAGGATGCGGGTCACCTCGCTCTGCTGGGACTTGATCTGGGGGCAGAGGGCAGGCAGGAGTTAATGAACAAGTTAGAGGGTTGATGGAGGCAGATTGTGGTTGAAGCTTTTGTCCCCGTTTCCCTCCACACCCTGGGGAGGATTCTGGTCCCTGGGAGTTGGTAGAATGAGGCAGGCCTGCGGTGGTCGCGCATGAGAGGACCATCAACCGTGGGGAGGGGACAAAAGTGGGGGGAAGTGGACAAAGTTCAGGGTGGGTGGGGAGAGCCTGGAGCGCAGAGAGGGGAAGACATGGGCTTGGGTGGAAGCTGGCAAGGAGCCACCCCATCCCAGGTGCACAGAGTGGAGAGAAAGGGCAAGGTAAGGACAGCTGGTCAGCCTGGTAGTGGGGGGTGCAGAGGATGGGTGCCCGGGGGATGGGCGTGGGCAGTTGATGCTGGGGCGGCTGAGGACCCAGGGCTTCCAGTGAAGGGGCTCGGGCTGGAGCCGCGCGGAGCC